GAAGTAGAACTGTCATACAGTGAAGTAGTGCCGCAACTAACAATTATTTTCATTATCAGTTAATCTGCATACTATTTCATAGATTTTTAACAATTTAATTAATGTTTTGTGATTTACTAACACATAAGACAAAGAAAAGCAGCCAACCTTCAGGCTGGAGAAGGTGGAACAAGCGAATATTTGTTATTTTACTTGAAAATACATAATGACTTAACATATGTTGTAGCCCTATTATTTGTTTTTTTTAAAAATCATTTCCCTTCTTTGCAGGGTATACAGGAGCCCTATCCTTTTGGGCACTCTTAAATAATGGGACTTGTCACAGTGAAGCAGCACTAAACCATACCTCTGGAATCTGTCACACCAATAAAAGAAAAAAGAGGTTTTATCAGTAGCTAGTGGAGAGTGTGGCGATTCAAAAACACTTTATGCAAAGTCTAGCTACAGAGGCGAACGCTCCTGACGTGCAGCTCAACCAACATCCCACAACCCACTGTATGCACGTGTGAATGCTAAGTTAAAAATGAGTGCTATGAGTCTTTTGAGTGATAACGTTTTCTTTTCTTTTTTTTTCAGATTTTTTTTAGTTGTCAGGGTGCAAATGAAACATGATGACAGGAGTGTGTATTTGTGAAATTTTGTGTGTATATGTGTGTGCATTGTGCAAACAGAAAGAGAGACTTTGGAGGAAAAGCCATTTATTTTGCCAACTGATTCTCCAGTTTCTGCTCCGAGTCTTTGTATAGTGATTGGGTTTCTGGACCGGTTCCCTGTAACTGAACACAATAATAAGGGCGACTCTGAAACAAACCATTGGACATCATTATTTACTTTTTATGTTAAAGTTGTTTTTATATACACTTTTTAAGAGAAGGGTAAGCTCATCTTCTGTCAGTATTCCAACATGACTTGTAAATTATGGGCAATCTTGTTCTGTCACGGTACTGGCAATTTTAGATGGAATGCAGTTTTTCTCCACTGGAGGGAGGTAGCGATTACTCTTAAAAACCGAAGATATGATCAACACTGAGAAATGGACATTTTATTTACAGTATACCTCTGATTTGGTCAGATTTACCCTGAAGTTGATTGTTCTACGGGAACATTTGTTTTCCTAAAGCTAGAATTTAGGGCCAACAATTTGATTATGCGTTCTGCAGTCAAGCATTACTTTTTTGAGCTACTTCCTGTAAATGGAAGTAACAAAATTTTTTTTATGAAATTGAATGTGATTTGTCATGAAAACTCAAAGAGTCCTGTGAGACAGTTCTTCCCATACATGAGTTAGAGTTATTGCTGCCAGTTGGCACATACACATCTATGAAATATTAGAAGAATATTAGCAGAATATTCATTATTGGTAACAATGCAGTATTAGAAATGTCAGAATGTAAGATTTAGCTTAGTTTTAAATGCTCAAATTTAAATTTAACACAAGATAACAGGATGACAGAATTCAGTCCATATAAATAATGGTGAACACATGAAACCTTTTTTGTCACCCTGTTCTGAATTTTCATTTTAAAGCTGTCTTGGACTTGCTTTTATCACATTAAGTTGAATGTATTTGATGAATGTCGTATAGGATAAAGTTTTTGGAAATTTACCCAAAGATTCAACATTGTACATTTGCATTGAACTGGCCGTTTTATCAGTGTAATTACTTGTTTCGCATTGTCCTGTCTCTTCAAGTCTAATCATTGAGCTTCTTAAGCACATTTGAAAGTTTGATCCTGTTTCGATCATTTCAAATACAACCTTAATCACACCAGTAAAAATAGAATAAAACGACAGACTTGTGTTGTCCTGAATAAATGTTACTGCATATTTAGTTGCACTAACTGGCTGAACTATGCACTGAGTAATGCGACCTCCATGACAAGGCCTCTGCGTACTTTCCTCCTCCACAAGCACAGTTAAGTCCTGAAGGGTTTATGAATTCTGTGATTTTATCTGTCATCCACAGCCAGTGTGTTAGATCACCTCATCATGTAAACACCCTTTTCATTAAGGCACTAACTGTAAAACCCAGGGTCACTGAGCTTTGACAACATGACAATACCAGCTAATAAATACAACAACATGTCACGTGGATCTGTGGGCTCCTTGCTTTTTAACAGAACACTGTGCATTTCCTTTGCAAGTTATTAAAGATAAATGTTCCTCCATGGCGCCAAAGGTATTTGCTGTCAATGTTGATTCATCACATGCAAAGTGTGTTTTGTTTTAAGTGTAATATCGAGCCGAAGTTTCCACTTGCCAGATTGCAGAGTGAATCAGTTGGCATTAGACTCATACAACAGCACATTTATGAGAGTGAGGAAGTGCAAACAGATGAACGCTTTGTTTCCCTGTGTGTTTGATGAATGTTTGTATGATTAAATTATCACTGAAAACTAATAGCGTGGGCTTTGTGTCAATTTCCAGGACTGAAAACCTCAATAGATCTCAAGACATTGGTTTAACGGCAGCTTTTATATCTTCACCATGTGTTTTAATTTTTCAACATAGTCGATTATGATTGGATTTCTCTTAATTTTTACACCTTTTAACCACTATTCTTATATATTACTACACAAACACTATTACCATATACTGTAGTTCGTAGGAATACAGCATATGGAATCCCACATGATTTACTTTTAGACATTAAACACCCTTTCTTGTTACTTTTAAATCCATGAAATTGCCCTCTGTTAGCATTAGCGTTAACAAATCATAAGTCATTAAGTGATGTAATTGCATTATAAGGAGAAATGATTTTATGGTCACTGCAATAGTCCAAATGTTCTTACTGCTGTGATTCTTTTTATGCATTTACTATATAAAGGAATGCATTTACAAGGGGCCTGGATGTTTTTTTTATTAAATAATTTTTAAGGAAAAGAAACTTGAATTGAATGTATTATTTTTTAGAATACATTAATGTGCTTTGTTGTGTGTGAGAACACTGCCTGCTCGTGCTCAACATGTTTGTCTTTAAACAACCACAGCAGGTTTCCACATTCAGTAAAGCACCACAGATACCACAGAATACACTCAAACACTGTGCTGCTAATTTGAAAATGAGCAACAAGGCTGACAGGGTCAAAATCAAGCCAACCAAGTGAGGACTCCAAATACTTCATAATAAAGGATGAGAGTGATGATAACAGTTTCTTTGAAAAAACAAAGAAACAGCTACTGTAGTTCAAACTTGAGATAGACCATGACCAGTAGATGTACAGCAAACTTATCTGACAGTTTTCTGTCTTTTGCACTTCAAAGAGACATCAGATTACATGTTAGCCTGGGGGTTTACTGGTTGAAGGTATCCCCCTATTGAATCTTTCAACGGTGCTGTCCAGCAGCTGTCTGCAGAACTAAACTGCCTGAGGGAGCAGTACTCACTTTTTTGCTCAGTCTTAATATTAAGAAATATTAAGATTGTGCAGCAGACGCAGGATTAGCTGCTGAGTCACTCTCTGTAAAGAAGCTTCAGTAAGTAGATGTAGTTATTGTTTTTCAGGCAGTAGCACCTCAAGAGATAACTGAATAATTTGAATCGTCGTGGACCCAAGCTAAAAGGAGAAACTGAACACACCTACGACTGCTAAAGCTGTAATTCTGCAATTTTTAAGAAAGCCTTAAAAGATGATTTATGTGGGTGGGGACACAGGCAGCAGCTCTTTAGAATATTTCAACACAACCGCACAAACATTACTGTTTAAGCAAACATTTACACATTTGCTTTCTCTTTGCCTCTCTCTCACTCTCGTGCGTACTCCGTGTACCAGTTATTCAACTTCTCCAATAATAGTTTTCAACCTTTCAAAATAACTCTAACCATTGTCTTCCTGCTGATGATTTACTGACATGTTTCATGGATGTTATGGCCCATGCTCTAGATCCCATGTATTGTTACATAGGCAGCCTTTCTGGTGTCACGTGAGTTCAAGTTGAAATCAAGCCCACAATACATTCATACATAATGACCTATTAGTTGTATGTACATAAGATCCTCTCTCCTTGAGCAGGATATCAACCTGTCTTTAAGTTAACCCTGCCACGTAATGACAAAAGTTAGCCACTGTATGTCACTTTCCATTTTATCACCTCTGTCCTGTTAATTTAGTACCCAAAAGGCCCAGTGGTGCCTGATTAGTGAAGACGTTTGGGACAGTTTCTTCACACCAAAAATTCTCTTTCAACTTACTCAAGCTTGATTTCAGTGGAATGCTACCATATGCAAACAGTGTGCATATCAGCAAGCAACTTGACAGTGAGTGTTTGTCAAGTGTAACACCTGTCTTGATCAAGTGTGAACATTTCTGCAGTGAGCTTCCTCCTACCCTGAGCTGTAGATTTAGTCCAAAATAGGCATGAATTAGTCCTCCCCTCTCACATAGAATGTGTGAACTTTGGCACATTTACATTAGATGATCAGATTAGATTATATACAATTAGATTTTACTAATGCTGGATTCATACATTTTGTGGTTTATTTGAACAACATTTGAATATTACCCTCAAAACTGCCATTCTTGCCCTCAAAGCATCTCCCCAGGCTGGTAATACTCACCAGGTTTATTTACTTAAGGAACTCACCACTGACTACTGCCCCAGGTCATTATGAAACACGCACTCAGAGCAACCTTCCTCATTGGGACACACCCTTTCTTTTAGAATTGATAAGTAAGTAAATAAGTAAGTAAGTAAGGCACTGTGTCCCAAAGAAGTCAAACTCTTGCTGCTTCAAACAAGGTTCCTGTAGTGTTTGGAGTGGACAGATGTGATCCAGCTCTGAGCACTGGGTAAGAGAACAAAAACTACGTACACCACATCCTCACCTGAGGGCAATCGAGTTACGGTCTCCACGGGACCTTGAGGTTTGTGCACACTTAAACTAAGACAGAGGAAGGGTTCAGGAGGAGAGTCAGGCATAGAAGAAGCCTCAGCTTTGGAAACGCTACTGAATCCACTTTTGTGAAACACTGACAAGGTAAGAATACAGTTCACAATAAGGCTCAAAATACATCTACTGCTGCTAGGCTATTACTGGTTCTACAATGCTATTATTACTACCACATGATTCTACCTGCTGCTAACACTGCTCTATCACCAGTAGTGGAAAACGTATTCATGTACTTAAGTACCTAAGTAAAAGTAGTAATATTTTGGGAAACTGTAATGAGCCCATTTGTAAATCCTTTAGGGGATGTAAATGTGGAACTCCTTACCCACAGAATACAATCATTTGAAACTGTTTTTAAAGTGGGAACAGCCTTGAATGAAGTTGGTGCTGTTGAGTTTTGTGCATTTTAAAGGCCCATCTAGGAACGGTCACTGAAAATTTAATTTAAGCTATGAGCTTAAGCTATAAATGCTAAAGTGTCTGGCACTGGTTCTTCCTATATAATTCAAATAATCAACTGTGATAATTGACCATAAAATAGACTTTAAATTTATAATTGTTTGTCTTTTTCCAAGTTATCTTCTGATAATGTGCGTATTTATAATCAGATAAATGGCACTAATCATGTTTTGTAAGGCCCCAGTAAAAAAGTGGTCAAGCTGATTTAATGAATCCATGTTTTAAAGATCAGAAGTGGGACCAAGTCATTGTTTTACAAGTCACAAGTAAGTCTCAAGACAAGTTCCAAGTCGAGATAGGCAAGTCCGAGTAAAGTCTCAAGTCAAGACTCAAGTCCTAAACTTTGAGTTTCAAGTCCTTAACAAGTCATAATGTGCTCTTCATAAAATTTAAAACCATTCCATATTTTTACCAAGAGTAATAGTTAGTATATCAAATTTTCGCAAATCATGACTGCTTTTAAACGGCCAACTATTTCTTTTGCTCAGGCAATTTTGAATCCGTTAAATGAAGTGTTGATGTGCTGCACACTGTTTTGTTATATCTTAGTTTATATTTGGGTTTGTGGAGAGTATCAAGTCAGTTCAAGTCAAAAGGCATTAGTGTTAAAGTCAAAGTCGAGATGCAAGTATTATTTGATTTTGTTAAGTCGAGGCTAAAGTCATCATATTTGTGACTTGAGTCTGACTCGAGTCCAAGCCATGCGACTTGACCACACCTTTGATAAAGATAAGTATAGCTAAGAAATAGTGATATTACTTGTTCTCTATCACTCTCTTATGGAGCCCCTAAAATCCAGAAAGGTGATTTTATCTTGTGTGCACAAGATAAAAAATATTATCTTATGGGCTTTAGGGGCCCCCGTACTTTTTTACTTCCACCCTGCAACATGTAACAAACACATGCATGCACACACGCTCATGGAGATATACAGCCACATGCACACAAACAGACTTTGACATTTTGCTGAGTAGACCCAGAACAGCTCATAAAGGTGTGTGATCAAACACCTTTTGTCCAAAGAACAGTGGAATGCAGGCAGCGATGAATAATCCAAGCTTTTCACGTCGAATGAATGCCTCTGATATCAGTTTGGCTGTTATCTAACGAGGTGTAGAACACAGCTCCAAATATATGTCTACAAATAATTTAGACTTATTTTCATGAGTTTGCCGCTTTAATTTCAAAACGTTTGTACCCCTATCCATGTGGGGCTTTCTCAATGACATAATGCATTCCCTAGTCCCTTGCCCTAACCTTAACCCTTATCCTGACCATAACCTTAACATAATTCTAACCCTAACCCTAAAACCACATCTTAACCCTCAAAAAGCATGTCTACCAGTAGTGACCTCACTTTTTGTCCCCACAGTGACACACGTCCCCATAGGTTAATGTGCACCCCCTGCCAGGATATAAAACATTGTCCCAGAGAGAAAGGATAATCTAGAAGAGCAAGGAAAGAATAGTAGAGCCATGGACCATGTGTCCAGAGATCTTGGTATCGGTTATTTGCAGCAGTGCAGCTTTTGAGACCTGCCTTGTTTCTTATCACACCACCTCGCACCATGTGCCATTGTTTTGGAAATTATTTGGATTGAGGGATGGACGACATTTGTTCATACTCCATGTTTACCAAAAGGTAGCCTGTGAATAACATACAGAGTGATGTGTTCAGTGTGAATTGAGTCTGATACAGTGCAGAGCATTTTACTCTTTATAACTGATTTAGTATAGACTGTGGATACCTTCCCTTACTTTTATCATGTATTTTTGCCTCATATTTTCTATTCACCTCATAGTAGTAGTATCTCTTGCCCTCTCTCTCTCTCTCTCTCTCCTTCACCCCCAACCGGTCAAGGCGGATGGCCGCCCACCCTGAGCCATGGTTCTGCTCGAGGTTTCTGCCTCTTAAAAGGAAGTTTTTCCTTGCCTCTGTCGCCTAGTGCTTGCTCTTGGTGGGAATTGTTGGGCTTCTGTAAATAACGTCATAGAGTATGGTCTTATTTTGCCAAATGAATTGCTGGCATAGTGCACCAAGAATCAGAACAGTAAGCACCACTCCCAGCCTTGTAAGCTGTTCTCTTACTCATACCATGATGAATATGCTCCAGCTACTTATTTATCCATATATTATATGTGTCCCACCCTTTTATCAAGCTTTCTTTTGCACTTAACTTCTGATCCATCTTGATTACCCGATGTACTTCATATTTTTTTAAAGGCTGGGTGCTACATTGTAATAGGAGCCAAATAACTCCTTAATCATGATTACATGCATTTCATGTAATTACTGTAAAAGTGACAAACACATTACATTATAACTTATAGTGGGAGTTTCAAACAAGGCTATGATCTTCCGTTCGTTATCTGTATTGACGATCTAAAAGGTGGAGTAGATTGCTTTCTGATGTTGTTGAATTAGGTCAGAATTTCACACCTGCTGAAGCCATTTGACCTGGATATTTCCACAAACATAGATTCATGAGAGAATCTGAAACAAATTCTTGCAGATTTTGGATTAAAAAATGTATTTTGAGTTACATTAAAACAAACGTATCAAAGAATGGCTTCAATAAACGTAAGCATCACAACTACTCCAGCTGGCAAAGCTGGAATAACAGATTCTTCATTTCAAAGGAAGTCCCAGTAAAGTAAATACTGTAGAACAAATGTCAAGTTTACTTGCTACTGTTTAAATATTGGGCATTTGGGTATGGTTTCAGTGAAGCATCAATGCAACAGTTTCACAAAGCAATGTCATTGTTGAAAATGTCATGTAGGGTGTAAATCAGATATGACAACATTGTCTTCCAGCAAAGATAAACCTGAGCATGGGGAGTCCAGGCTGTGAACACACGGGCTGCACTGCACTCTCGCCTCTCTACATCAGCCACCCCAACACTGACACCAGGATGGCCTGGCTAGATGAGGCGGAGGACATCAAACCACCCCGTAGCTTGCTGGGGCTGCCTGAGCTCAGCTGGCCAGGGGTCTACCTCCCCTGCTATGACAGATTAGTTATAGAAGAGAACCCCAGGGTGCTGAGGATGACGGAGGCCCCAGCTCCTGCTGCTTCTCCCTACAGGACTCCGGAGCAGAGCCCAGCCAAACCCAGCCAAGCCCAAGGTTCCCCCTCTGAGATGGAGGGTCAGGTGGAGGAGCGGTGTCTAGAGCAGGTCCAGACCATGGTAGTTGGAGAAGTGCTGAAAGATGTTGACACTGCATGCAAACTGCTCAACATTTCCCCAGGTAGGACAGCATGCAACTGCTTAATGCCATGTTATTACAGCTATTTCAATAAAAAAAATCTGCTGTAGAAAGTGTTGGCAGAAGTTGTAGTCTAAAATAAACCTTCAAATGCCACCATTTGTTTGTTTGCGATTAACCTCCACAGTGACACAACTAACACCAGGTGAGAACCTGAGGCCCTGCCCATCTAGTGCAAACATTTCTGTTGACAAAAGATCATCTTCACTTTAGTCTTTCTAAAGCTTAGAAAGGCCTATAATACATGTTGTATCATAATGTGAAAGAGTAAGCAAGCGTTGTGGGACTTGCAAGAGAGAGATTTTTTTCAATAGTCACAATTAAAGCAGTCGAGCAATGGGTGATATTTAGGTGAAGCTCAAGAAACGCTGGATCTTACATTTCCCTTAGTGCAACTCATAGCATACTACAGGCTTTATTTTATTTGTAGTTTCCCAGCCTAAATAAGACTACTCAAATAAAGCCTCTAGTGCCACAGGAGAAGAATTAGTATATAGTATATATATATATATATATATATAGTATATATCTCTGTTTATCTCTCTCTATAACTTATCTCTGGGACTGGTAATTTGACTTTGAAAAGTAAAATCAGTCATGTGGTCCTTTAAAAGATCATAACACGAACTTGAAAAGTTTGACAGCAGTTTTGCTTTTGTGTCCCGGTTTGGTTAACAGGCATTCACAGGTTTGCACTGTCTTAAAACCTAAGCAATTCACACGTGACCAAAAACAACGGTCAAAATTGAAGCAACTGAGTTTTTGTCCCTGGGACAGGTCAAAGCAATCAGTAGTTTGACCCTCCCTGTCTGGTGAATGCTCCATGCCCCCTGTTTGTAACAGTGAAATTTTTAGTCTACAAGCTCAATCTGAGAAAACCCTGATGACATCATCCTGAGCCACAGAAGACATTATAAAACGTGACAAGTAAACTGACCTTTATGTAAAGAATCTGTAAATTGCCACATATGCACCTGGAATATGATATCTGAAAAAAATGATTTTATTAATCTGGAATGTGGTGAACAGAGAGATAGTGGACTGTAGAGAATACGCATTATCATAAATCATCATACACAGGATAGAATTTAGCGTAAAACAACATCTAACACCCAACGTCTCATCAAAACATGTCTCTTAATGCCCTATTGAACCGATGCTTTCATGTTTTCAGATTAAAACATCTGTTTAGTCTTGTCATAATTTAGGGTCTGGTTGTTGACACGTTTTCAACATCAGAAAATCAAAGCCGAACATGTGGGGAGCTTTGTAAAGGAAAATACCTTGTCTTTCTTTAGATCCCTTGGATTGGAGCTCTCTACACCTTCAGAAGTGGCTACTCTGGACCGAGCACCTGTACAGGCTGCCACAGGTCAGCACGATGTTTCAGGAGCTGACCGGGAGGGATCTGTGCTCCATGACAGAAGCAGACTTCCGACAACGCTCCTCTCAGTTTGGAGACGCGCTGTATGCTCATCTGGACATCTGGAAATCTGGTAAGAACCACAGGGACACTGGGAAATGAACCTACATCGACGTAGCAAATTAGGAAAGGTTTGTGAAGCAAACGCAGTGTGACCAAGAGCAAATTTAAGGCTTTAAGTATTCGGTGTGGTGTAAACTGCAACATGATTTTGTTTTTTTTAGCTGCAGCAATGAAGGAACGCTGCCCACCAGAAGACAGCAAATCTGGTATATTCTTGGCTACAACTAGATTTCTCTACAATTTATAATTCTGAGTATAGCTGCAATGGTTTCTCTGATCAAGGTGAAAATGTGGAAACATCTGGTTTCTAAAAATCTCTCTTATGTTAGCAGCTGATGATGACTCCTGGTCAGGTGTGATGTGTAACTACCCCAGCCAGCCTATCCACCTGTGGCAGTTCCTCCGAGAGCTGCTCCTCAAGCCACATAACTATAGCCGCTGCATCCGCTGGCTTAACAAGGAGAAAGGTGAGGTGAAAAGAGAGTCTTTCAAAGCTGTGAGCAGAGAAACTGGATGATGGTTTGGCACAGCAGTCGGTGCACATAACTGATAACAGTGACTCTTACTTACTGTAGGTTTTTTGACATGTCACAATAAGAAAAGCACAGGTGTAACTAATAAAATGAATGATTGTGGAATTCCATTTAGTTTCAGGGTACTGCGATGGCTTACTGGGACACTTGAATGGAACTGAGCCATCGTTGATGTTGTTCCTGTTCACCTCAGAATATAAACTGAGTAGGCTTCATTTTCTTTCTTCTGTCCAAAGGGATTTTCAAAATAGAAGACTCCGCTCACGTGGCCAGGCTATGGGGCATTAGGAAAAACCGCCCAGCCATGAACTATGACAAACTGAGTCGCTCCATTCGCCAGTACTACAAGAAAGGCATCATTCGAAAGCCTGATGTATCCCGCAGATTGGTCTACCAGTTCGTCAACCCTGTATGATGAAGAGGAGGAACCAAAGATATGCTGGACATACAGTAGGAGTAACATGAACTCTGAAGCTTGTTTGCTCATTGTATATGCCTTTTTATTTCAATTGTAAAGACTGCCTACTGAACTATGCACTCCTGCCTATCATAATATTAATCTACTTTATTCTTAACACTCAATTTTATATTATGTGTCTTTGTTTTCTTTAGCACTCTTGTTTGAAATGTATTTTTGGTGTGATGTTTGGTTTCTAAAAGGAAACATATTTCTTCATCTGGAAGCATTTCTGTACTGTAATATGTAGCTGAAGCCAGCAGTCAGCTAGCTTATCTTAGCATAAAGACTGGAAACAGCTGGCTCTGTCTCTCAGCAAGAAAGCGTTATTTCCCCAAATTTTAAACTATTCTTTTAAAATCTATTTTTTAATAATGACACTTCTTGTTTTTCCCATGCAAGTGTCAAGAAGTTGCAGAGCAATGTCAATGTAAGTTAACATTTTTTAAACCTGTCTTGATGGGTAATTCTTTATACATTTCTGTCTTTGGGTTTATGTTTAGGATCTACAGTAAAGCAATACATTAGCCAATGTTGTCTCCTTCAAAAGTAGAAACAAGGAATAGTATAATAAATCACTCAGTGTGCAGTCCATACAAAAAAAACACAGACACTAACTTTTTTTTTCTTCAACAAACTTGTTCCCTTTAAAACCAATCTCGCAATATTGACACCATCACAACAAATTTGAGTTGGGTTTTTCATCACTATCGTCATTATTATCTGTGATCATAATCATCTTTATGCATATTTAAATGAACTTCTTGTTACATCAAGATGAACAGGCACTACACCAGTTAGGAGATTAAAGTACATCACTAACTATGAACATACATCTTCTAGACCGCTAATATAGGGTTTCCACAACATGAGCTGCTGTCCCCTGTGTGCATAAGGAAGAGATCATCAACATAAAAAAAGCATTTACATGTACACCTTTTTACTGCCTCAACATGGTTAGGTCTCATTTTCAACTCAACACAGTTGTACAGTTACAATAGAATATAATCTTTAAATTACATCATCATATACAAATCTGACAGCGTGGGATAACGTCACGCTTTTATGATACACTGACAATTCCATTGCAATGAAATTCATACGATATGGTATCTATTACTTAATATGTTTTCCATTGCTGTTATTTTTAATGAAACACATTTACATGTATAACACTACATTTTGTCTTAATAGTCAATCACTTGCATTTTTTTAAACATTTTTTTCTGTTACATTTACACAACTCATACACACTGGAGGGTGAAGATGTTTTCCCCCAAAAAGATTAACCTGGTAATGTGAACTTTGAACTTGCATGTATTGTGTATATCGTGTGTTAAATGCATGTGTGTTTGCATGTGTGTGTGTGTGTGTGTGTGTGTGTGTGTGTGTGTGTGCATACGCGCATCAAGAATGTGGGACAGTTTGATGATAGGAGTCCTTTTTGCTATGCTGGACAGCTTTACTCTAAGACACAACTTGTGAGCTGGTGATGTGTTTCTCCTCATGTGTGAGACCCAAACCTGTCAAATCCTGTTCCAGACACAGAGCTAAACACATCTGATTACTGTTGGTCCAGTGAAATTTAAAAACTTCAGGACAACTAAGTTATAAAACACATCTCTCCCATCTAAACAGAGATTTAGGTGCAACTTGTAGCGATATAACTCACTAATCACCATTTGATAAAAGCAATTACTGCTATAAATTTAATTTCTATAGAGCAAGTTAAAAATAACCATGTGACGCACTGTGTAAGAGTCATCTTACATGCAGCGCAGTACTGGTGACAAATATATTCCCTGTGTCATTGCGTAGTGTTTTGTAGACAAATGAAGCTTGGGTGGACCGGGAGGCAGCTACAAGTTGATTTTCACTGAAGCTGTTTAATATGTGATATGTGAAGTTATTGCATGGAGAGAAAACAGATAGTTGATGGTGTTGGGTCATTCTTTGGCTCAGCAGGGAAATGGGCCACATAACTAGTGCTTTTTGCTAGGTAGGGCTTTAACTGACAATAGAGAACCATGTTTAGACAACATGCCCTCTTTCAAGCCCAAACACAAGTACATTCATGTCCTGTTGGAGAGGCTTCGATCTTCAGACAACCGTCTGTAGCGCACTAACACACTGACATGCCTCCATTGGCCCCTCGCTCTGGAAGAAAAGTGCCCGGCACAGGCATTGTTCAAAACCCCCCTGTTATACTGCAGTGGCAACCTCAAGAAGATGACTTGATCCAACTTTGCTCTGAGGAAATGTATCACCGTTCTTGTTAACAGTAGTGGATTAAAATGAGACCTGAATTACTGAACGAAGAATGAAAGCTTCTGCAGAAACTGTATATCCTGCATTGCATGGAGATGATATTATCAAACGGCCTGTGATGCTAAGAAAAAAAAAACTATGTTAAAAACAAAACAAACAAACAAACATGAAATCAGTTCATCAACAGGCTTCCTTTCATGAAAACGGAAGCATGTGCATGTCCAGAAGAATGTGATGCTAAAAAGTGTAGTCTGCATTTGTAGTGGTAGAGGTGTTGCATCAAGTTGTAGCCTAAACGAGGCTGCAAAATTCAGGGAATGCAAGTTGTTGCATAGCACATGCTGCTATGCAAGTTCAGAAACAGTTAAAAACACATAGCACTGCACACACTGGAAAAGAGGTTGGACGAAATCACAAAGAAAAACAAAAAAAAAGATAAAAATAAAGGATTCTGTCTGTGGTAACTTTAACACTACACAGCATTCCCGATGTAAGAATGACAACTGACCACACACAGCATTAAAAATGCTACACAAAAATGGCATCACACTGTATATACACAATGCAGGTTACAGAAGCTTGTGTTTGTCGAATGGGTATAACTGAATATATTGTCTTCCCATTTTCACAAGAGAACAGACTGCAGTGTACTGCAAGTTTAAATAAGCTGCATCATACGTTAAATACAGCTACACAGAGAAGCAATGTGTTCCTGCACTGTTTTGATGTTATAGTTGAGTGTGTATATACTGGAATAACCGCTGCTCCTGTTTTTAAATGTGTAAGTCCACCCACCCCAAATGCTGGATAAAATATATTATACTGATATACTGTCTTTTAGGTTACTAAGTTTTTATTTAGGCAAGACTGCTTGGCGCATCTGTTGGGCAAGGGATGTGTTGCTCTTAAGTCTCTGGCTATGTGCGGTGCAATTGGATGGGACAGTTCAAGCTGCCTCCAATGGCATGTCCTTGTCCAGTAACATGACTAGATTGGCTCAACATAATTGGCTGGGTAGAGTCCCTCTGTGCCGGTGTCCAAACGACCTCTACACCAGCCTTGCTCATCTTCATCCTCAGTCTTGGTCAGTTCATCACCTGTGAAGGAGACACCACTCCTTAATCAGCATGCTGTCCTGTGTCAAATAGTGAATGTAAATCTAAAAGGAAGATATCTATATATACTGCTCCACATTTCTGCAGATTTATGCTCTGTATATTTTTTAGTAATACTTATTGATGTAATGTCTGTTTTTGTACTGTATTGTAGCCAGTATTTTAGAAATACTGAGGCCATGAGTCCAAGTCTCCCCAGCTCCCAGTAAAATTTGACCAGATAAGAAAAATGCTATTATTTGTCTTTTTCGTATTTTATCCAGAAACCATTCAAACCTATCAAAAATGCCACTCCACTAACAGTTTAGTTAACTTTCGTGCATGTACGCTAAATAATAAAATACTGCCAGCTTAGCTTTGCATAAAGACTAGAAACTGGCTCCTGGCTCTCTCAAGCAGCACCCCTAAAGTTCACTAATTACCTTTTGTTAAAAAGTTTCAAAAAACAGTTCGGAATATAACCCCCACAACTTAGCATTTTTACTTTTTATGTTAAGTAGTGAGCTCCGGGTGCTGCTCTGTAGATTTGGTTACCTTTGGACAGAGCTATGTTAAGCTAAGCTAACTGGGTGCTGGCTGTTGTTTCACCTTTAACATACAGACATGAGAGAGTGTTAATCTTCTCATCTAGCTCATAGCAAGAAAAAGAGTGTATTTCCTAAAATGTCAAACTATTCCTTTAACTGTTTAATTACTGTATATTCTAAATGCTCTAAATGCTGTTTCAAAGTTTTTGCCGCACTGCCAGGAATAAAATTGTTGTAGGAACATAAAGAACCCTGTATTTGTTCCTCGTTGGCTTAAACAGTCACACATAAATATTTTGAAGAGCAACTGAAAACCAGGCTGAAAAGCAGTGTTTTGCTGCCCTCTTTGGTTGAACGTTTCTAGCCTGTTGCATCTGTAAGCACACCCAACAGTGATGTCGAAGGGTCTTGAAGTACATCTGTACATCACTACAGCAAAATGAGAAGTTGAACCACTGGAAGTCAGAAAAAACTAAATTTTTCAGGGGTTTAAGTTACTCTTTAACGCCAGAATATAATGGAAGCCAAGAATACCATTTAGTGTTTACTTTTCATTGTAGAATGTAAACTCCCTCAGCCATGCAGATTTCTATCAATTTAAGCTAATGAATTTCAATTAATGTAACGTGATTAGGCGGTGCCAAGCCAGTTTCAACAAATCAGACAATCAAGAAATTTAAAAGTACCCTGTGGAGCTTTTGACCAATGAAGAACAATATTTTTACGAGTGGGCCCTTTTTGTTTGTTTACATGAACGCACAAGAGGGCACACCGGGCACGAGTACAAGCACATGTATGATACAATTCCTGCCAATGGTTTTGGACTATTCCACTGATCTACAGATGCAGTAGAAATGCAGAAATGTGGCAAAAAAAAAATCCCAAACAATCCAGGTTTAATTTCTTTAAAAAAAAAAAGTTTTCTGAGGAAAGGAACACATTCAAAATGTTTGTTAGACCTCAGGGGTACACACAATGCACTTTGGTGAGTGACAGTGACCGAAATAAATACTTTGTTTACAAGAAAACACCACAGGGCACCAAATAAACAGAATTTGCATGAAGGTTTAAGAAGTCTTTAAAGACCTCCTTCAGCCATTGCCAAATATTTCTAAGATGATTTAAATGCACCTAATCTCAAAATATGCAGTTAAAAATAGGATCTGGATGTGCAGTGGGGGAATCAAGATGCACAGCTGTGGCTTCTTCAATAGTTATTTTTCTGTGTAAAGCTTGTCTTTAAATTGTTAGTCATGTCACAGCGTTGGGCTCTAAAGCACTTTTTCACATCATTTCCCAAAGAGGTTGTGTCAATTGGTGGCAAGTGCCTGTAATTTGTTTTCCACGTGGCTATTATTAACTAATCACTGCTATCGTCCATAGAGGAAGGGAGCTTTAGAATAGAAATCAGGACAATTTTGGTGATTTTTGACCACCTGGACATGCATGCACGTCTATATTATCATAAAACATCTGCATACAGTGTCCCAGGCCATTTACATACATTAATAGAATTAAAAGTATTTTTTCATATTCATAAATGAATGAGTAAACATGAGCTTAACTGCATAATGGAAGATAATGTCACATGGCCTGTGTCATCTGGTGACCGACAATTACCTGCTTTGAAGGTGAGCTCATCCTGTTCCTGGCCTTCATAATCATAGAGAGCTCGGACACGAACCCCTTTCCCAGTGCTGGAATCATCTTCGAATGAATTCCCGTTCCCACCGTTTTCGTTGCCAGAGTACGAAGCAGGCTGCTCATCATCAGACCACTCAGTCGAGTAAACTTGGTTTTTATCATAGCTGCTCACGCTGGAATATGGAGAAAATGCAGGGTGATATTTGATGTTGAGTGAAGCCCAGAACAACATACTAAAAACATTTTTAAAAGAAAAGTATTTCCAAATGTTAGCAAAATTCAAATCCTGTAAATACTAATTAGCATGCAAAATTTGCAGCGGAAAATAGTTCTCAACAAATGCACTTTTAACTCTTTAACATTTGCTTAAAACTACAGCACCTATGTGTACTGTTGGTTTTGGTCTTTTCAAGAGATTTGTTAACAAAAACACAAATTTCAGTATCACCAGTCTTGTCCTTTAAGAATTAAGATGTGACTAAAAGAAATATTACTCACTTCAAATAATTTAAGAAAGGACCTTTGTAAGAAAACGTAATTTTATGATTAAATAGCGTGTGCTTCAACGTAATTGATGTGATCATTAACAATAGATTCCAGGAACTAACCTGCTACGATCACCAGGTGGAGCCACATGGTCAGTGCTCGGAGTGGGTGGGGCTCCGTCTGGTTTCTTCTTCTTTATGGGAACAGCGGCCTGGTCTGGGTTGTATTCCTGGAGATGAGAGCGAAAAGAAACACGTGAAAGCAGAACAAAGAAAGGTAGTAAATAAAGAGGAGAGGTTTCTTATGTTCTTGTATGAAGGTTTAATGTTGTTTACCTCAAATGCAGGCCAGTTCATTGGCATCCCAGGGCCGTGGTTGTTGCTGAACCACTTCAGGTCCTCTTGTGTGTTTGCACCCAGGATCGTGCGCTCAAGTTCTCTGTATATGGTGGCATAGCTGAGGAGAGGAAAATGGAACAAATAGTGATGATGAAAGTGCCAGAAGAGACCTGGCGGTGCTGCCAATTTGGCGACAGACCCCACAATGTAGTTCAAATTCTGGGTTGAGAGAGAGCCAACACTGGGTCATGACAAGACTAAAGTGTCTCCCTAAATTTTCTGCTGAAGCGGAAACCCTCAACAGCTGAAGTATTTGGCGTAAATAATCCCTTACAAAGATATTATTGTTTCCCCAAATGTCTGCAATTTGGAATAGATTAAAAAGGGCGCATTCACCATGTAGTTTTAGAAATACAGGATAAAACATGTTTCATATATTAATGCAGTAAGAATCCATCCATCCATCGTCAACCGCTTATCCTGCGTACAGGGTCGCGGGGGGCTGGAGCCAATCCCAGTTGACATTGGGCAAAAGGCAGGATACACCCTGGACAGGTCGCCAGTCCATCGCAGTGCAGTAAGAATATATTAAAATATTTTTCTACATGCATCATCCCAGTGTTTTTTTTCTAAAGCTGGAAAATGAACTACAGGGATGCTGTGTTGGATTGAAGAGGTGAGCTACAGCACATTACAGCACACCAGTTTAATTTTCTAGATTTTGGAATGATTTATTCATTGATCCTGAATGAATTTGTGCATATTTATACTCAAACCATTACATCCTCTCAGGAACACACTGAGCTGCTTTTTTTTTTGAGAGGAAATGTGACAGTAAGTGGAAAAACAGATTGATGTTCGTATATATTTAAGAAGAGAAACTAAAGCTTGACTGTACTTGCACTGCACTGTGGCAATTATTACTATGATGTATCACATAGTACTGTTATAAAAAAAATGTTTGGCCTTCATGATAATGACTTTAGCTCATGAAACAAAACAAGACAGTTTCTGAGTACTAATTTGAGCACCCAATTTTAGTGGGCTCTTTTAAATGGGTCATTATAGTTGAAGAAAATACTATAAATTCACAGAAAATGTCTAATATGCTGACTTTTTCATCTAATAACTGGAACTGACAATAATTTCTGAGAACATTCACTGTTGCATGGTAAAAATATACAGGCTCAAATCTGCTTTTGTGTGGATAAATATATGTTTTTAATGCCAAAATATTATTTTATGGTTGAGGAGGCAAGAGCACTGGATTCAGTGATAAATTAAATGAATATTATATAAAATGATAGTGCTTTGGTGTGTCTAATTCTTTGTCTTATTCTATTATGAACACTCAACAAAGCAGTTTCTTTTAAACCTGAGCTGTCACATGTTTTCTTCCACAAAAAACAGCCGTTCAGGTTAACACAGTTGAGGATAGTAAAAGAGGGGTGTGAAATTATTTAAATACAACATGAACAATGACACCCATCAGGATGAATTTCAACGCAACCCCCTAAACAGCAGGGCTAAAATAATCCATGCCAACTAAAGGCAGGTTTGGTTAAAGAACCTGAAAATCAATTTTCCATGGGTCGCGGCTTTGTTGTCACATGCAGGTTAAAAACAGCCCATGAATATGACAAGCTTTCACTCTGAACAAAATTCAGTTTGGCAGAAACATCATTGACTGAATCATCAATTCATTAGTGCCATGAGTCTGAACACTAATGAGAAATGCATGGTTGAGGAGTGTGGTGAGATTAATCAAGTTGAAGTGAACTGTACAGAATGTGACACAACAAATCTAACTGTGATTATTTTTGATTAAAAGTAAAGGTACAGTATGTAATTGTGCTCAACAAATGTTGCTTACAGTGCCACCATTATTTGCTGAAATATAGGAACTATACTGCAGGGTAAGACACAGAGATGGTGGTAAAACAAAGAATATATAGTAGAGCAAAATGAGAACAACATATAAAATCACATGAGGAGTTTTTAAGGTCTGTTTTAACACTCATACAGTATTTTCCTAAATCATGTGTCAGAGAAAACACAGTCAGTGATCTTAAAGCAGCAGCTCTGTGAAACACAAATGTAAACTAGCTAACCTTGGATTCTCGGTGAGGTTAAGATGGCGTTTAATGTCCAGCAAGGCCTCCTTTAGGAAGGTCAGCCTCTTGACTTCATGCTGCTGGCACTGGTCAAACACCTGCTCCATGCTCTCTATGTACTGAGGGGTGCACTTGTTCAGCTCCTCCAGAGATTTCTCGTACTTTTCTTTAGCCTGAGACAGAAAACAGAAAACACACTGATGATGGAAGCCTGGGGAAAAAAACAGGCAAAAAATAACCAGCACGCTTTATTTATTAGTTTTATTGTAACAGCTGACTTATTCTTATTTGTAACTTGATATTCTGTATGTGTATTTATCCCAAATCTATATCTGCAAACTAACCTTACATTGCCTTTTAAGTTTGCACTACAACTCATTTGTTCCTATAACAGAAAATATCACATTATACCCCTTTAACTTCACACTGCTGATTTGAATAGGAACATGTCAAAAGCCTGATCAATTAGCCTGATCAATAGCCATTTGAAGCCCTGCCAGGAGAGCCTGGAACAACAAGATAAGACAAGATAACACTGGGATGTGGCTGTTTGAAACATGTAGTGCATCTACTGGCCAATGTTGCCATATTTGTTTTTCACTCTCCTCATACTAAACAAGCAATAATACTTTTATCTCTTGTTTTCCCAGCCTTGTTCTCACCTTCTGCACATCTTGTTTGCATTTGTCTACTTTCTCATGGAGTTTCTTCTGCTGGTCTGGCGTAACAGAAGCCTCAGTCTTGCCGTTGGCCTCTCGGGCTGCAGCCAGCTTCTCCTCCTTGCAGGCCATGTGGTACCCTTTCTTAGCTGCCTCCATCTGCATGTCCAAACGCAGGCATTGTCAGCATTTCAAATACATGATCTGATTTAACCAAAGGAACACAAGGGAGTCACATTTACTCATCTCAAAAGAAATGACCTTGTCCCGACAGCATACTTTATTTTAATGATATCTGTATATAATGTCCTCACATCCAGGACCAGATCCTCATTTTGCTATATAAGGTAAAAGATCAATTTGAGTACAAACAAAACATACTTTTACTACTTGCTCCAGGTCATTTACATAATTGGTCCATTTAAAAAAAGATTCATATTTCAAATCCTACAGGGCCAGCCTTTTATAAGAGACAAATCAAGGGAAAATTAATCCCTGAACACAGTGGTACACTAATGGTTTTAGGCAGTGCAGTCAGTATCTACAAAGCGTCTCCCTAAGCTGGAAATCAAGACTTGGTCAAGGTGCTATCAGACACTAAGACTGACTCTGTTGCCTAATATAGACTTTGTTTGAAATATCACATGCAAGTGAATTGTATTTAAATGTAGCTCTCAGAGCTGTGAATCAGGTAATGTGCCAGTAACACCAGCATGGGTGCATCCATTGACAGTGCCATGGAGAAGCTGCAGGACAGGCCTCTAGATGAAATCATTAGCACAGCCCACCTGTTTAGAGATTTGTTCAAATTAACCTAAACCTGCAATAACTGATTCTTTTGTCCACTTGGGGGCAGCTGAAACACATTATTATACAACATTGACATATCATGTTTTAAGTGGATAAGGCAAACTTCTTAGCTAACAGCTGCTTATTTACACACCCAGCTGTTACGGAGCAACATTAGCATTCATTTGGAGTCGTGTTTCTGGCCACCTTGCAAACATAAGTCCAACATTCCCTCTCCTTTAGCTCTGTTTTTGGTCTCCATTAACCACTGATGGAAATATGTGTCTCTTTAGCTGCTAAATGCTCCACTATGTTCACCAGCTAGCTGCTAACTGTGCTATGGCAGAAAATTACACGGTGAGAGCTGTGAAAGTGAACCAAAACAGTAGTTAGTTACAATGAAACAAGTGGGGGGAAGCCACAGATTTGGGTGATAATTGTTGTTTTCACATTGTCATTTGATACATTGTTAATAAAAATATCAATCATGTCGCCTTTGAATGTCCAATAACATGAATTCAAGCATAATGAAGTGAAAAACAGGTTTAAATACTATTTTAAAAGCCAACAAGTCCTGGTGTTACTTTGCGTATTGCATTTTTATCGTCACACAACACATCACAAACACAAAATGTGAGAAGAAAGAAAGAACCAGGAAGTAGCCCATTTATGTCTTACGTTCATGAAGTAAATACAACATGTTTTACACCTAGCATAATGATGATGACTCATATAAATTTTCTTACACCCCTCACCTCCTTGAGCTTTTTGGCCCACGGCTTCTGAGCTTTCTTGAAGCCTTCCTCAGCCTCCTTGGCCTCTTTGAAGCCTCCGATAATTTGCTTGTGGTAGGCCTCCTTTTGCCAGTTCTTCACTTTCTCAACATCATCGTTCACCAGGTTGTTCTTCACCTCTTGGTGTAGCTCACTCACCTTCTCTGCCTCAGTCATCACACCTAACCAGGCTCTCTCCACGGAGCCATATTGTGGGCCTGGGGGTCGGACAAAATGATTCATCCCAGATAAAAAATGTTGTTAGTTAACACGCAGCCAAATATTACCAGACAGCAAACGTCAAACTGTGTAAATGCAGCTTTAGCAAATTGAAAGACAGTGTAAAGTACATTCATTTTTAGAGGTATTTATTTTACTGACCCCATCCCAAATGCTGACCTTTCTCAATGAGCTGCCTCCATCTCTTGGACCAAGCAGTTAGCTGATCACCATAGGCCTTTTCTATCTTGGCACGTTCCTGCAGGCAGCCCATGAGGTCATTGCAGAGCCGATGGCCATCATCAAATCTCTTGACAGCACGTTTGTAGTTCCCTACCTGAGAGAGAGACAGAGGGACACATAGGCTGAAGGAACAGAAGACTAATCTGTCTTTACATATCAGCCTATCAAAGAAGGAAAAAACTACAAAATGCATGTATATGGGAAAACATACCCAAAACTGATGAAAAGGAGCACACGGTAGCTCACCTGATAGAGCACCATGTAATAAGTTTGAGTCCTTAACGCAGCAGTCTGACATTGATTCCAACCCATGGCCTTTTGCTGCATGTCAACAGTGCCCCACCACCAATTTGGCAATGCAATATTTCCCATACCAATAAAGCCCCACTAAATTTAATTTAAAATTTCCTGGAAATCTGTTGATGTGCAGAATTCCAAAGCAGTAAGAGGGGCACTTAGAAATTATAGCATGTAGGCAACACACAGACATTAACTTCACTTTCATTTTTTGGATGCTGAGCTACATGTGGGAGGGCATCTTACCCTGTTTTCAGCCTATAATGCATGCTATCTAGCATTTTTATGTACATCTACATGTATAAACCAGTTGACTGGCCAGTTTTGATGTATTTTGAAATTTGTCCTAAAATACATAATATGTTCAATTAATTTGATTAAACTGAAATATGTGAAAATTCTCTATATCCATGCACAATTTAAATTCAGACAAGAAAAACCTTCAGCTACATTAATTTTCTAAATAAAAGGTATCACAGCTAAAAAAAAAAGGATCCTACTCAAACATAGTAGTATTCAGAATTATTGTCTGTCTAAATCGTTTTACTGTTTACAGTCTTTTCTTTTAGATCTCTCCACCTTAAGCGAGGCCACCTTAAAAAGCAGCACCAGGCCTTGTGGCTCCGCCTCTACAGTGCCTGCAGGGGGCGTGAGCTCATGGTGCATGATGAAGAGAGGGTAGTGGGGGGGGGTTGCTCGTGCCTGTGCATGTGTAGTTATGCAATGTCATGGGCTTGGGTTTGTGTGTGTTTCTGAATCTGTGTGTGTATGTGTGTGTGTGTGCTCAAACTGTGACTGCTTTAATCCTCTTGAGTGGTGTAATGCAGTCAGACAGATTCTCAGTAATAGACAACGAGGTAGAGACAGAAATACTGTACATAGAAACCACAGGCTGCATGTGTACACGCTGTAAATACATGCAGTCACATACATCACCACACGGCCACATCTCGTGGAGAGCCTGTCTAATGTGCTCGCTGGCTGCAGAGCTGCACTATGATTGGTCCTGACATGAGCATGCATGTGTGGTTGCTGTTTGAGATGAGGGAGCTGCAGGGAGGCAGTGAGACAGGTGTGTGACAGTATGAGTTTTGGCCTGTGTGACAGACTGCCAAGTCACAGCAACAACAACACATAGGTGGACTGGTTCTACCTGTGAAAACACACTTGAGCTCTTGTATTTGCACCGTAATTCAACAATGTAGGGGCCAATTTCATGATTTTATTAGGTTTGATTGTGCTCTCTAGCCCAGCTGTATAAAATATCAAAGTTTCTGATGACAAAACCTGAGAATTAAGGCATTTGTAAACCCAAGCTTTTGCTAGTATACATATGCTATAGGCAGGTGCATGTGGTGAAAGGCCGCCTCAGAGTAGCTGATGACTGAGACTCTTTGTCTGCGTGTCTGTGGCTACGAGCCATAATACAAAGAACACTCTGTACTGAGGGAATTCATTAGCGCTAATTTGGTATAAAAGTGCGCGCACACACACACACACACACACACACACACAGCATCTAAACACAAGTGAGGATAGAGAGAACTTGTATGATACATATATTGGTTGTGATGTGTTTAGCGAAGACGGGCTGTATTTTCTTAAAGAAGAAACGATTGGTTCATATTTGGCACTCACATCTTTCACAAAGACTTATCTTTACACATGTTCATCTTATTCATCCATTTAGTTCGTGTCCAAATAGTTTAAAGGTTCAGTGTGTCTGTTTTAGTGGCATCTAGTGGTGAGGGTTGCGAATTGCAACCAGTGGCTCAGGGTGCATTCACGTGCTCGTCGGATGGTCCTATTTCCCATGTTGTGTAGTCGTTCTTACGACTTCGGTGTGTGTTCATGCGCTCTTCAGTCAGAATGTAAAATCAACATGGACGCTACTACAAAGATCCATGCATCCATCCACCGCCAACCGCTTATCCTGCGCACAGGGTTGCGGGGGGCTGGAGCCAATCCCAGCTTACATTGGGCGAGAGGTAGGGTACACCCTGGACAGGTCGCCAGTCCATCGCAGGGCCACACATAGACAGACAACCACTCACACTCACATTCACAGCTAAGGACAATTTCAGTGACACCAATTAACCTAGCCTGCATGTCTTTGGGAGGGAGGAAGCCGGAGCACCCGAAGAGAACCCACGCGGACACGGGGAGAACATGCAAACTCCACATAGAAAGGTCGGGGCAACCACCGTGCCACCCGCTACTACAAAGATGTGTGGGATTAACATTATCAGAGCATATAAACAACACGCAGACATCTATTCCAATTTTCCCAATTGCAAAATTTGTATATGCTATACAAAATTTTACATGAATCAAAGTTTTGTATACTTCTTTATGTCTCATGTACTTTATTTATCTTTTTTCAATAAAGATTTAAGGAGGAAAAAACAAGATTCTCATTACTCTGACACCACATGAATGCAAAGCTCACCCTTCCCTTTCCAAGCGAGCAGGAGAAGCTACAGAGACCAACACACTTTGTCAGCTGTTGTGCTAAATAATACGTGTGTACCTCCATTTGCCCAAATTTCTCTTGCTTGCTTACTTCTAGTAAACTGACTACTACTACTACTACTACTACTAAAGTTCTTCTTCGTTTTCTTCTTTGTACATATTCAACTTAGTGACGAAGAGTCTTTGTCCTTTTGGGCTACTATAGAAACATGGCAGTGCAACATGGCAACATCCACGTAAGAGGACCTGCAGTGTATTTAGGTAGAAATGGCTCATTCTAAGGTAATAAAAACAAAATGGTTCATTATGTAAGGTCTTTATACACCACTGAAAACATAGTTATGTATCTTATATTGTATTTCTTTCAATAGATCCTACTAAATATTACACACTGAACCTTTAAGTAAATGAAAGTAATTCTCATGTCATTCCCATTTTCTTTTGTGAACATCTAAAAGTACTTTTTCGAGTAATTAAATGGGTTTCTCACAGTCTTGTGTCTGCCTTGGAAAAAGAAATGCTGAAAATAAAAATCCACAAAAGTAAATTTTATTTGACTTTTGACATACTATGAGTATATTTATTTTATTCTTTCCAAACTTTAATGCATTTTTTTCCTGGCAGGCGTATACCTCATATACCAAAACACAGGAAAAATTGCAAAGCCATGCATTAAAAGTTACTTTAATTACGTCGAAAAAGTAAATAGTATAGTAGTAGTAAAATAGTATGTTCACACAAAATAAGAAAATAAGAATAACGGAAGATAGAGTGTCTCTTTAGACAATAACATTTTTTTTCCCTTTGTGTTATGATATACACACTTTCTGACTACATTTTAGCACCAATACTACAGACACTGCAACTTTCCATTCAAATTTAGCTGCAAGACAAAGGGAGGGTAAGGGCTTGGGGTTGCACGTTCAAACCCCATCACAACAGGCCTGACGGTGCATCTGTACCTCCCAGAAGCTGTCCATGGTGTCGTCAGCAACCGCACTTTCATCGTAGGAGCCAGACATTTTCCTGGATGTGGCAAAGCACTCTAATGACTAAACCTGTCCTCTGCAGCAAAGCTGGGTTCCTCATGCACTGAAAGAGACACAGAGAGAACAACAACTGTGAGACAGTAACATTACATCACACAAACACAGAAACAAAGTGGTACAGACATTAGAAGCAGAACATAGCCAAGCTAACCTCTCTGTTACACTGAGGAAGGCAGTTTTCCCTGGTATCTGGAGGGAACCTTTCAGTGTGAGTGTTTCTATTTGAGAAGTTTATAATAATGAGATAAAAATAGTTTCATACGCCATGCATACAGCGGCATGCCCTGAGGAATGAGAAGGGGCATCTTATATTGGCGTGTCCTAGAAAAGACACTAGAGACAGAGTGGAGCATCGCTGCCATCCCACAGCTCTGACCCTGAATCCTTCCACAGTGCAAATACAGTCATTCTTTTGACACATTACATCTGAGACACATATAGACAAAGTACTCATGTTACACTGTGAATAGCAGCCCAAAATGCACCTTGGGTGTAAACATGAAATTGTGTAATTGCCAACATTTTTATTATTAATGTTAACATATTATTATTATTACTTGCAAGTGTATATAGTATGTTTTGTCTTTGTATATTTTATCACTGTCTATTTTTGTCATATCTGTGACATCTTTATTTAACGTTTTGTTGTTTTGCACAAATAACAAAGAAGAATAATGTTGACTTGAAAATCAGTTTTCTCCTAAATTGTCCAGTGAATTTGAGAGAAACAAATACATTGACACAACAACAGACTTATTTCTACGACCATGTGTCCCTTAATGAAGTGGTTTACTCGCCTGTTACTTTGTAAACCCACCAGAAAACAGTTCCTGCGGAATCTCCTCCAGCATTTTAAGGTGATTTATATCCATTAGTTTGACGTCTGGTCGATATCTTACCACCGTGGTTAAAACAGAAGAGATTGCAAGATGATATATTGGTATTGAACTCTTTTTGAAGCCTAATCCATTTTGCTCACATGACTGATGGGCTTTTCCTTGACAGAGAGCTCTTCATTGCACTGCAACAACCAATATGTGATGTGCCTAATGCTAATGAAGTTCTATTGATAATATTCCTGTTTTGACATGGTTTTCTTGGTCTTAACAATTAAATGCAGTTGATTGTGGTTACTATCTAATTCTGCACACGGTCCAACAGCGCAAAACTTTATTATAGCTTTTAATTAAATAGTAAAGAGTTTAGTAAAATGTTATTAAGAGCACAGTGTATTAATTGACTGATTCTTAGCATGGTCCAAATTAAGTGTTCATTTCATGGCCATTTCAGATTATAAGCTGAGTCTGCACTCTACAGTCTGCCACATCACAAAGAATATTTTGTTAAACTATTACAACTGCCCTCTGTGCTTCATCATTCAACTTCATTCTGTAGTCAAGTGCAAACTAATTCCTGCAACATCCTCTGTCCCTCGAATGAATCATGAAAAATGACTTTCTGTGTTAGGCTCAATTTGAATTGACCTCACTTTCCTTACACATAACAACATAATTGTCCTTGATGAGAAAAATAAGAGTTGTGAAACTACAAGGTCGGCTTATGAAGGGAAAGTATTTTTAGTAGCAGCCCCTGCAACACACTACTGCGTGTTTTCATAGGAGGTCTACTCATCAAAATGTTATCAGGCGAACATTTGTACCCAGTGTGATTGGTTCTGGTTTCAGCTGCAGAAGAGGCAATCTATTCCTGCTCAGTCAGTGTTTCTACAGAACATTGACTGATTCAGCCAAGCCGTATTTCATCAAAGGCCTTGGTTACTGCCACCAGCCATCACACCAGTCTGTGTGGCTCTCAACAGTCGAGGCTTTCAGACACTGGCTATTTCAAGAGTGCGCAACACAAAATACCAAAGAACTATTTCATGATTTAGCAATTTTACCGTCAGATATTTGAGCCTTTCATCTGGTTCGGGGTCAGCAGCAAAGCATTTTTCTGGTAATTCATCTTTTTTCCTCAAAAGAGGGTTCCACAACTCAGAAAATAAAAGATGCAGTGTTTTCGGTGCACTGTACTCTGCTATCATACCTACAGGGTTTGATATAACTGGAAACTGTGTACTGTATTTTTACGGGAAAAAATGCTTTTACTGAACATAGAGGAATACTGAAGGTTTTGCTAATCCAAACATTGAGTGGAAATCCAGACCTATTGATATCATATCATATTATCTATAGTAACATTGTCTAATTTTACAGTACAGTGTAGCCAAAGTAAACAAAGTATATGTAATGTATATGCTTTTACATGTTTACAAAAAAATGTATTGTATGATCCCTTCTGTATCCTTCCATTATCTTGACCATCATCATAGCTTCATCTTTTAAATCTTGCTAGATATGTTTTTTGTTGGATTCCAAAGCCAACAGTTTGAGCCATCTTGTACTGCCTGCAGCAAATTCCACAGACTGTGTGAATCCACCTCAGTAACCTCCTTCTTGAAAATGGGGACACAACCCCTCTCTGCCAATCCACAGTACACTGAGGAGACGTGTTAGCCACCCTCATAACCTGCCCAACAATGAAGATACATTTAATTCCCACACTGACATCTTTTTTTTTTACCTTTATTTATTCAGGGAGCTTTACTGAGAGCAACCTCTCATTTGCAAGAAGGCCCTGATCACAATCACACTCTGATACATTCACACCTGGAAGCTGCCCAGTACCACCGCAGCCTGGTCTGCTGGCCACTGAGTAGCCCCACTGGAGCAGGTGTGGTTATGGGCCTTGCTCAAGGGCACCTCAGTGGTGGTAAATGAGGGAGGGAAAGCACTGTACTTTCCACACCTAGATTTAGCCTGCTGGTCCAGGGACTGAACCGGCGACCTCACAAGCTCACTTCTTTGGGCCACCACTGCTCAAAGCCCGTCTGCCAAGGGTATTGACCCCTACAATACCCAAATCTTCCTCCTGTCCAGAGGACATACAGTATCTACTGAAAAAAAGAGTTTTATGAAGGAAAACTTTGACATTTTGGTAAATACACATATTAGATCAGGAGATTGATACCACTCTTATGATACTTACTTACTTACTTATGGCTGTATGGTAAATATGAAGCGGCAGCCAGTAGCCAGTTAACTTAGCTTAGCACAAAGACTGGAAACAGGGGGAAACTGCTAGCCTGGCTCTGTTGAAATGTAATAACCAGCCCCTCTAAAGCTCAAAACTCAAAGTATAAAAACAACAAGTTGGGGTTTTCCTGTCTTTACGCTAAGACAGGAAAACAGCTTCATATTTTCTGTAAAGATATGAGAGTGGTATTGATCTTGAAAAGTCAATGACATATTCCCCAGTTGAGCTCACCATTGAGGATGACATTCTTTTTGTTGTAGTGGAAGACCGGCTGACGGTGAGTGTCCTGTTTGTTTCTCCTTTTTTTCTCGTGGTTCTGTTTTTCCCTTGTCTGTGCTCCCTCTGCGTGTGCTCTCCCTCTCTCTCTGCTCCTGAGCCCAGCTGACGATCCACACCTGCACCTCGTCAGCCTCCTCCTCTGCCTGCCACACCTGCCAGCAATCAACCTCGTCTCTGCCTGTATATCAACCCCGGTTTTCCGCACCATCTCTGCTTGATCGTCGTTGCGCCTTACCTGGTGCCACTTCATCACTCAAGCGCTGGAGTATTTAGCGTCATTTCTGTTTCCCTGTTCGATGTGGTGAGCATGTGTTTTGTAACCTACTGTACATGTGTAACCAAAGGACCGAAAATATGCTTATAAGACCTGCTTGTGATATGTGACGGTGTAGGCAAGTTAAACAAAGTTATTTAGAGATCAGTGTACAATCTGTATATATTTACTAAAACTAAAGCAAATTTGTACTTAAATGTGCATCCACTTGGTGAGGTTCATCTGAGGCTCTCTCCACAGTAAATACTGACATAATGATAAAAACAGCAGACTTTAAAGACACCATAGGCCTCAAATCTATACCTTATAGACAAATGTTTGCTGAAAGTCATGTAGCATAAAACAAGACTATGTTATGCAAGAGAGCCCCATGCAGCTAAGCAGCCCTAAAGTAGCATGTCTTAATCTCAGCAACCAACAAACACCATTGGTCCCGCTACCTGTCCATCAGAGTCCACCGATTGCTTCTGCATCCTTGACTATAACACCTGGTGACATCAAAGCCAGTTAAGCTCCAGCATGATGCCAGAATCTTGGTTCATAACAAAACCAATGTGTCCAGAAGCTTAGTTAAACCAAACCTCACACACTTAAACCAACAATAACCCTTGATGATGTTTAGAAAGTATTCAGATTAACACGATAATTTCCAGATAGTGGTCCCGACATCATCTTAAATTCGACAATCTCAAACTGTTGTCACATAATTCTGTAGCGTGGATAATTATATGAACATGTTTATGAAGGTGAAAAGACAATAGGTGAGAGATAAAGATTTCAAATTATCAAAGCACAAAGATAATTTACTACTAGTATGGTACTGATATTTCTAAGGACATTGTGGGAGATTATCGTAGGGGGGTGGGAATGGTGAGCGTGGAGAGGGGCTTCTACTCCAGTTATTGAGTTCAATCCACCTCAATGACCATTACCCAGTGTATTAACTGGAGAGGAAGTCAAAGTGAATACTAGACTAGTGAGTACTGTTACTTTACTGTTAATGTTACAGTGTCTAATATTAGTCAGATTTTAGGAAAATAAATTTCATATAAATGGGGCGGAATAATGACGTGCACCTTTTTATATAATGCAAAGGAACATCCAAAATATTGCATAAATAAATAAAATATAAAAATAACAGCTGGTCTGTACAAGACACATTTGTCCACTTGGATGATGTATCAGTTTGAAACTGTTAACAACCCACTCAATGACCAGAACACACTGGTTGATGTCAAAGCAATCCCTTTAGCAATCCCCAAGTCTTTCAGGAGTCTGCTGTGATTGCAGAGGCGGCACGGCTCTGTCTGAAGTAGATAAAATACTACAATTGCAAACCGTTTGCACATTTGTAAGTAACTGAACATTGTTCTGCACATTTACTTACCATGGTTGGCTCCATTATGGGGGGGAAAAAAAGAAATTTGAAATCAAAAACAACTCCTTTAAACGACAGCCTCCTTGTGGATGTATGAATTTGTAGTCCAAATATGTCCTTTATAGTTGGTACTTTAAATTGTTAAGGATATGTTGTAAATTTTTATTTTTGCAGCTTTGACCTCTGTGGACAAAGTGAACCCAGAGAGGACGATAAGTCTGACCAAACCAGCATGTCTCAGAGGCTGAGGGATAATCCTGCAGTGTGCCACTTGAATAGCTTTAGAGGGGGAGGGTGCTAGCTAGGAAGACAAGCAAAGAAGCGGATAGGACGAGTGAGACAGACAAAGTGGAGAGAGGAATGTGAGGTTGAAATGAAAGTCTAATTAGGACATTAAATACTGACAGGATAGCTTGAGGTTGTTTCTGCATAGGGACACGTGCATTACTGTTTATAGATGAAGGGCTCAGTTTCATCACAAATGCATTGCTGGCACATTAAGCACTGCACTCCTGTGACTGAGCTCACAGCAACATGATGCACCTAAATGCTGCAGGTACCTGGTGAACATGCTTTTAAGAGAGTTAGATAAGAAATGTTCCTGACACAGTCAGAAGGTCCAGTGTTGTCAAGGCTTTTAAAGCAGTGAATGGGAACCACAACAAACATGTAAGCTTGTTACAATAAGAAGATTTCAAAGAGATATACTAACTTTACCATGGCACACTACCAAGCTCACTGTGTCCTGACTGATTTGACAACAGCATTTCAAACGTCGCTGACCCAATTTAGTGATTTTCTCTCCAGTAACATAAGCAAATCAACTAAGGCTGCACTTAAAACTAATGTAGCATGCCAAATATTTTGAGAACTACTAAAATCCCACAGCTGATGTTTTGTGGTTGGTTTACGATGCATTGTGGTTGTCTGTGGATTCTGTTTGATAAGCGCAGCATGCCTTCCTCTTGCACTGACAGAGTACAAGAGGACACACAAGGAGAGAGACAGAGGGAGGTCTTTCATTGGGATATGAGCAAGAAGAGAGCGACAGAGAGGAACAGGGAGGAGGAGAGGCGAGTAGGGGAGATGAAGATTGAGGGGGGAGGCAGGGAGTGACAAGAGAGAGGTGAGGGAGAAGAGGAAGGATGCAGCAAGCTCAGGACGTAGCGTGGAGCTGGTCCGAGAGCAAGATTGTTGCTGAGTGGAATAGAGAGCCATAGGGCCAGAACGGCAGCTGAACACATCAGGACAGAGATGTGATTCATCTCACGGTGCAGCGCAGACTAAGCAGGCCGTTGGATGTTGCCAGGAGACAGGGCCACTTTGTGCAGACTTCACACACGCCGTAACAGCAGAAGCCGTCATTTAGCTGGCCATGTGACCGATGCTTTAGATGGGAGAAAGAAGGCTGGAATGCAGTGTCAGCTGTCCATCCCACATTCAACTAGCCGAGCGTCCATGAGTATGGACATGCACCAACACACATAAGAGGGAAACTTGTGAGTGCATACTGAACCAAAAGACAGAGGGACAGAGTACTCTAGAGAACTCGTTCAAAGAAGATGCAGTAACAGAGCTAAATAAAGAGGCAGAGCAGTAGAATAGAGAGAGGGGAATTGAAGGAAAACCGGTGAGAGTGGAGGTTGAGGGTGATCTTGTTTTGTATTTATCAGTTGAACGTGTAGTGCCGTGAGCCCTCTTTACTGCTCGCTGGGGCATAGAGTAGGAGAGTCAAATCGGAACTGAAGTGTTGATCCAAATGGCAACAGTATTTATTTAGGAAAAGCCCTCATCTTCTCTCTCTCCTCCCATCAGCTAACTCCTAGCCCATCCAACAGAGGAAAGCCCCTGAAACTGCTGTATGGGTGGATATTTTTTTTATTTGCTAAGAAACATGATGGAAAACAAAGAAAACAAATAGTCTGACACGAGCAAGGAAGATAAATGTGCTACCCATGTAGTTTTCTATCGTAAGGAAATACTCGATGTCTATAGCCATGCTAACTGTTCTGTGAAGGAGGAATTGGGTTGTGCTTTGAGCAAAGTGCTAACACAGTTTAGCATGTTAAACAACTGAGGGTGACGGGAATGTTGTTGAAGGTATTTACTCAAACCAAAGTATTGGGCAAATTGAAATTTTGACCTGATGGCAGTAAGACGATAAACAAAGGGAATGTCATGACAATTAATCCTTAGGGGAACGTGTATGTATGTATGTATGTATGTATGTATACCAAATTTTATGGCAATTCATCTAATAGTTGTCGAGACAAAAGAAAAATGCCAACTTGTGTGTGCCGCTTGTGGAACTGTTGAGATTACCAAAGTCATTAGGATGCATCCTCTAATCTGCAATAGAGAGTTTTACCTCTTTGTAACTCAAACATGGAAAGATGTTTAGAGGGAAAGTGTCTCTTCTCTGACTTTTGAAACATGATAAAGCTACAACTAGACACTGCCTTTTGCAAGAGCTTACAAGCTAAAATACGTTGTTAGGCCATTTATGTAACTTTAATCTGAAAAGTAGAAATAAAGCTGTCAGATAAATGTAATGGAGTAAAAAGTACAATAATAATAAAAGTATTTCAGTAAGTTTAGTTACATTCCACCACTGCATACATGAATTGATGGGGATGGGGCTCTGCTTGACCCTCAACTACATGATCCCACTGAGATCAGGTGAGACCAGACTAGTAAGATGTCATTTTAAATCTGTCCCCAAAATCAAGCTCATCAGATATTCTACAAATGAATGTCTTCATAACAACAGAACAGCTACTGATCAGTTCAGTAATGTCTCTATTTGATTACAACTCCCAGATATTGTATCGTAGCAAACCAGTCCGTAGATGCCTTTGCCTGTGTGGGCTAGCAGGCTGGGTCATGATTTCAAGCAAACAAGCGAAGGATGATTCAATTATCTGATCATGAAAGGTGCTCTGGGTCGCCGCACAACAATCAAGTTTCTGCATCCTAGTTTGTTCCTTGTGGAGTTCCCTTGTGCCCATTTTTAATCAATATCTATTTTGTGTAACTGTGAGTCAGCCAGATGTGCTATTGCTCAGCTCCCAGAACAACACAACACACAATAATTTGTCAGCACTGGGACATAACAAAAAAAAGACACCATTTATATTACACTTAATTGATTTCTGTAGGGACAGATTATCTTTCTCTTCCCCCACAGGGAGGTGAGAGGTTATGGTCAGCTACAGGTCATATGGAGGTTGTAGTCAAGTCACTTTTTCAGTATATAATAAAATATGGATAATATATAATCAAAACCTCAGACAAAGAGGAGGGATCCCTCTCCCAGGATGGACAGGCATGCAGTAGATGTGTGTATGGTATAGACCAACATAATAAAATTACAGTATGGACAATCATGATGATAAAGCTGGTAGGGTGGCTACTGAGACACCATGCTGCCTGCCATCTGACAGTCCATAAAACAATTTGTACTCTGGTTCAATCTCCAAAATTCTGTCATACAAACTTCATGACAGAATTACAACGCTTTTGCTTCTGCCCCATGGGACCTTATTTTGGAAAAAATATGTACGGTGGTCAACAGTAAAAGAAAACCAGTTGTTTGATCCTGTTTGAATTGTGCCCTGGATTACAGATATGATAGTCAACTTAAAAGATAATTTAAAGTAACCTTTTTGTTTTGTGTGAAACCACTCAATGAACTATCTCTCTCGTCTTGCACAATATACATCATCAACATGTTAACGCTGTAATGCTAGCTTACAGCCTCACAGAGCCCCTAGCATGACCGTAGACTTTCTTGTTTCTTGATACATTCAACATACGAAACTGATTGAAAAAAAACATGATTTCTCAGGAATAAAACTGAAATAAGACTTGAAAATGAACTGATGAACCATTAAATTGTCTAGGAGATTCCTGTGTTTCATGGAAATTTGGCCATTAATCAGAAACATACATTTCACAATACAGCACCTATAAACACACACTTGCGACTGAGTTGCACTGCTGCAGTGGTTATGTAACTATCAAGCCTCTTGCCACAAGCCTAGTGGTGACAGTGTGGTGAAGACAGGGGGAAAAACAGTCAAGGGAGGGCAGAGATAGACGGACAAGAGAAGCAGAGAAGAGCGGAGGGGGAGACAGATATATTGTGATGGGTGGTGATGAAGGAATGAACTGGAGACATGCAGCAGTGGCTGTGAGATGGAGCAGAGAGAATGGAGGCTCTGGTTCCAGTCCAGTTTTTCCTTATGTCCAGGCAGACAGAGGAAGGGAGGGCGTAAGGCAACAGTCAATCTAAGAATGTTGCTCTTCAGACACACCAGCTTTCCGCCTTAACATTTGGCTGCCTGACGCTGCACTGAATACTGATGGGCTGGCTTTAAACACACCGCCTATACGTGTGTGAATTTATAAGGCATGGGGAGAGGGTGTGGGAGGTGGTGTTATTGAAAAAGAGCGATAGCTACAAATGATTTTAACTAAAATGGGCTAAATATCTCAAACTATTTAAAACAAAATCAACTGAATGATTAACTTGATGATTAAAAAAAAAGTAATTATGCCTCCAAAAACAATATGAAGAGACATCTACTGGGTATGTAGATGACTTACTGAAAAGTAGGAGGTATAACTCTGTGCTAGTTTCTCATTCTTGTAAATACCATCTACATTGATTTCAATTAGTTTTCTACCTAATTGTATTATTACTGGTGACTGGCTTTGAATTGTATATGAATGCTTTAAATTGTATATATGCTTTTGTCTTTTCTGTTTTTCCTTTTTTTTAAATGTACAATATATTGAGGTTTATATATTAATGCAATTGATGTAATGTGTAAACTATGTCAGGTGTGGACCCCAGAAAGAACTGATTTACCATAGCATCTGCAAATGGGGATCCTTTAAATAAGCAAATAGATAAACAAACAACAACTAATATTTACATAAACAAAAATAAAAAACAGGTCTTTAAATGTTACTGCCCTTATCAACAGTGGGACAGTTTTTTCAGAAACAGCTCCATGTCCTGTTAGTAACATCCTTTGGTTCACTTTCTACAATTAATGTTACATATGCAACTGATACATTAAATGCTTTCTTGCTGATTTTGAAAAAAAATCTGAAACCTGATGTTCTGTGTCTTTGCTTTTTGACTGAAGGGAGGAGGGGCTGCTCACACAGCAAAATGAAAATCTCTCAGCTGCATTTCACTTTGTCCTTGAAAAGAGGAAAACATTTTAAAATACAAGAAAAGACTATGGGCCTGATTTACTAAAGGTTTGAGTGAGTAAAAACGTGGGCAAACTTGATATCACCAGCAAATTAACAGATGTGCACGCAGAATGACGTCTTTCAAGAGTGCAAGATGGCACCTGTTGTTCATTTACTACTTTTCCTTAATGAATATACAATTTGGGGCGTTTCCATTTTATTGTGCAAAGTAATGGGAGGGTAACATGCAAATACATTTATTTACTACATGCAATGTGATCTAAGAAGCCTAAAAGCAATTTCATGTGAGTGCAACAGCATCTGTATTTAATACGTTTGAAAGGACCGCCAAGTGTTGCGCAGAGATTGCTGCTGTTATCATTGCCAGGAGACACAGCCATAATGAAAGAAAACGTAGAAGATTAATTTTTTTTTTGAGGTAATATTATTCTATATCCAATTAATAGAAATACTGTTATTTTATTTATTCGATGAACTATACGAATTGAATTGGGTTCTTTTTAGTTTCCTTTATAGCTTTGGCAATAAGCCTACTGTTGTACTACCATTCATGCCAATAAAGCATATTTTGTTTAGAACTGACTGTCGAAAATTGAGAAATGAGAAAGTTGCGTGGTGCTGCGTAGAGGCCCCAGCCGCAGTAGTGCATGGATCACGCGTAAAATTCATCCAGCCAGAGGGAACGATCACCAACTGTTCACAGCGCCATAGCGACACAACCCATTGTAGGTATCAGAGAGGGAATGGGGCATTGGGGTGTACAGGCACAGGAGATCGCAGAGCGACCGGGCACGGTGCGGACGGTCGATGATTGTTCCCTCT